CCCCGTTGTATCCTCAAATCGTGTACACACCTCCGTAAATAGGTCTCGATTCTCTACACAATGTAGAGAGGATCATAAACTAAGAGTCTCAGTACATCTGTAGATAACCTGCATCACAGAAGTATTTTTATCATTAAAAACCTTATCATTTCTATATAGCCAAAGAGACCAAATAACGGCAAGCTCTCCCACCCTAAGAAGAATTCTAAACCTGTGATCAATCACATGTAACCAGTTGCCAAATACATTGGCAACACTACAAGGAGGATACAAGCCAGAAGCTATTTGGATGACTGACCATATAGACCGAACCAATTTGCATTGGAAGGATAAATATTTAACTGTCTCCTCATGATGACAAAAGACACATTGAGGACTTCCATGCCAATTCCTCTTAATAAGGTTATTTTCAGTAAGAATGACTCTGCGACGAAGATGCCATGCAAAGAGTTTATTCTCAAGAGGTATCTTCATCTTCGAGATCTTCTTGTTATTATCTACTGGTACATCAGACTGGATTACCGCTCTATACATGGACTCCACTAAGAATTATCCATTCCTATGGAGGTTCCATCAAAATACATCAGACCCATGTGACAATTGCACCGTGGACAACCGCTCGAGCAGGATGTTCCACAATTGGAGTCTGGGTCCAATTAAATCTCTTCTGAACGTCATGTTTGGCGGAAATGATTCCATTACCGTGGCGATAGTATCAACCTTGCGGCGCACAATGTTGTATAGAGCCGGATATTTCTCCCGAGTGTGGTTTCCTAGCCACTTGTCCTCCCAGAATCTAATTTTCGAGCCATCGTTAATAAGGAAGGATCCATAGCAGAAAAAAATTATTTCTTCATAGCCATTAGACCTGCCCAAAAGTGTGAATCCCCAGGCTTCCACTGTACTTGGGATACCGCCTTCGAACCCACATATTTCCTCCTTAGGAGGGTTTTGCCATACATCTTTCGTCAGTAATTTAAACAACCATTTGCCGAGGAGGGCCATATTCTTAACCTCAAGGTCATGAATGCCCAACCTGCCTTGCTCTTTGGGACGGCAAACCACACTCCATTTAGCCAGTCGATATTTCTTTCTCTCGCTATCTCCTTGCCAAAAGAATCTTGATCGGAAATAATCCAACCTATGTAAAAATCCTTTCGCCAACTGGAAGAAGGAAATCATATATAGTGTCATATTACTTAGTACTGAATTTATGAGGACCAATCTTCCACCCATAGACAGCAGTTTACCTTTCCAACTGTTAAATCTTTTTTGCAGTCTCTCCTCAGCGTGTTTCCATTCAGCCTTTGTGAGTCTCCAATAATGTATCAGTATCCCCAAAAATGTGATCGAAAACTGGCGCAACCTGCATCCGAACAGTTCAGCGTACAGGTGGGCCTCGTCTTGAGCATTGCCAAAGCAAAACAATTCACTTTTATGAAAATTGGTCTTAAGACCCGAGAGTTGCTCGAATGCTGATAATATTAGTGTCATATTTCTCGCTTTCTCCAGGTCATGATCCATGACGAGAACCATATTGTTGGCATACTGAAGTATAGAGAGACCACCATCAACTAGATGATTTACTACCCATCAATTTGGCCATCAACCTTGGCATGCTCAATCATGACTGCTAGCATATCCACCACTATATTGAATAGCATGGGCGATGCGGAGTCACCTTGTCGCAATCCCTTCTTCATTTGGAAATAGTGTTCAACGTCATCATTGACCTTAATGGCAACACTACCTCAAGAAACGAAGCTATGGATCATAGCATGCCACTCTGCAGAAAATCTTTTCATTCCGAGCCTGTTGAAGAAAGGGCCACTTGACTTTGTCATAAGCCTTTTCAAAGTCTATTTTGAGTACCACCGCATTCAACTTTTTACGGTGTAATTCATGGACTGTTTCATGAAGGATAACAGCTCCATCTAGGATGCGCCCGCCTTCCATAAAAGATGTTTGTGAAGGATGAACCACATGTCCAGCAACCGAATTTAGCCTGATTGTTGCAACCTTCGTGAATATTTTAAAACTAACATTAAGGAGGCAAATAGGTCTATGTTGTTGTATCCTTTCAGCCTCATTAACCTTAAGTGGTAAAATAATCTCACCGAAGTTTAAGCGAAACAATTCTAGTTGGCCAACATGTTGATAGAGGCAAAGGTGTCCCGTATTTCGATGAGATGGTGATTGTCATTTTGGAGGAGTAGACTTTGACGATCCGACTACGTACGTGCGAGGACGTCGCACCTTAGCAGTCGCTAAACCAACTCCGAGAGGTTATTGACCACGCCGGAGCATGATTAACCTGACCACGAGGGTCTATTTCCTGCGAGCAAATGAAGAACAAGCAAGAAACTGAGATTGCAATCTGGATATTGCGAATATAAGATGAAAGCTTTATTGATTAAGATGGGGTTCTGTGGCGTCTTGGTCTGGTCGTTGAACACAAACGAAGTACGCGAAGTTGCAACTATGGCAAACTTTTAATCTAAACAAAACCCAAAGTCTAAACGACGCCCTAAGGGCTATATATATGGAGGAAGAGGGGGGAATTTCGTGGCCCTTGGGGAAGGGGTCCGAAACAAACCCTATCTCTTTTTTCCCCACACATACGGAATCTAAAAACAGCCTATACTCAAGTATTTTGAAAATACATGGGCCTGGCCCAATAATAAGGTGACACAGCACCTAGAATAGCCTCTTGATGAAAGTTATGAAGTAGCATCTTGTATATTTCTTCCAAGGCTTCATGCACTCATTATGGTGGCTTCAACGTCCTGAAATCATCACTTGTAACTCCGTTCTTGTTCCCCTTGCGCATGCCATCATCTCCATGCTTTTTCTTGCTCCAATGTTCATCCTTCTCCAAGCTAGGCCCTTCATTTGTAAGCAAAACAAATGTATCCAATTTAGGCAGCATCATATTCTCATGAACATTAGAATCATTACCAAGAAACAAAAGTACCTGCTAATTTAATTAGCGTGCGCGAGCTCTAGTAATTGGTCCAATATGTATAGCAGCAGGGGCTCTGGGTGTAAC